ACAACAGCAGTGAACAGAAAAAAATGCTTTTAAATTTAGGCTATGTTATTTGAAGGAGACCTATAATGGAAAATTGTATTAGTATTACAAAATGCAGGTTGACAGGATCCCTGTAATAACTTTGGGGACTTTTTTATTGTAGGAAAGATAATGCTCTAGATATGCTAAATTTGCTAGCCTTTAGATGATAAGAAGGGAGGGAACCCAGTCAAGAAGATCTGGCCTGGAAGAAAGGTAAAATGCAAAACTTACAAGGGTCCCTTTTTGTTCCTCTCATATAAGCATGTGCACCCTTACATCATTACAAATAGTATCTCTCAGAAATACTGTAATTAGCTCATTCTTGTCACTAGTATATCCTAGAGAGGGATTTTTTTAAATGTAGCAATCTCATCTGTGCAAGTACTTGCAGAGGAAGACTAAATCACTTTAACTAAATATCCTCACATGAGACTGCTAATCACTTCTTTCATCTTCCTCTGAAGTATCTAGTGCAGATTACCCGGGAGAGGCAGACACTAGATGAGTGAGGCTCTTGGGTCAGATCAGTTTGTGTTTTCAGCACAGCTTTGAAAACAGTGAAAGTGTGTCAACCTCACAGGCAAGGAGACTTAGGGTTGTTAATAGGTTTTCTTGAAATATAATTGAAGCTTACAGCTATTTGGTGATAGAACTTGATAAATATATAAAAGGAATGATATGATGTGATTGCCTGCGATAGCAAAAGCTTCACAAGTGACTCGGGAGATCCCTTCCAGTCCTGTGTTGATCAGACTTTCTTAAAACTATGAATGTGATTATAGAAATTTAAAATATTCCCAGTCTATTCCAGCTGTCAGAGTAATTTTCCCAGTTTATATGTATATATAAAATGTGATGCAGTATATGCAGTTGAAATTAGCCTAAAGATAACAAGTTTAATGGAAGAATATTAAGCATGTGAATTTCCATTGTACCTGAAGATCTAGTTGCCTACAAGTCACACTCGCATTTAGTTAACTTTTTTTTTTTTTACTTTTGCAGTTCTCTTAAACATAAAATTGCAAAGCAGTCTATATTAAAATTTAGCTGCAATTTCTATTTTTAAAATAATAAGTCCCAAGCACCTAACTGCCTTAAAAAAAAGGAAGCTGTGTATTTAATTGCCTATTACTGCAAGAACCACTGTAAGGCACACATTCTTTTCCTTTTGGATCTTGGTCACCTTTTTAAAAGCTGAAACATGTTTACCGTATGGTAATACTACCTGACTGTATTAATCACTTTGCCTACTTTTCAGAAACTGCCAGCTAGAGCTGTATATGACTTTAAAGCTCAGACTTCTAAGTAAGTACTAGACTTCTGTTCATTTAAGAATTCATAATTCAAGAACGCTCTTTCTAGCACTTGTGGCAGCTAACTGCTGTTCTAGACAGTTTCAACAGCAAATGCCATGGAAGCAGAGGGCCCTGCTTGCTGTCAGTAGTCTCTGCATTAGCAAACTGTGTGAAAAGCTATTTTGTTAAAAAAAAAAAAAGTCTTAAATTGTTATATTCTTCATTGTATTTATTTGAACACATGAATGGCTGTGCAATGGCTGTGCATCTTCAGCCATCTAGAGCATGGGTCCTGAGGGTCACCCACTGAATGTTCTTTGTTGTGAATTGTATTTAGGTTACACAAATATTGTCACAAATTGTGTGCTTATCAAAATTCTGTATAGTGCTTCAGCATCTTCCTGTCTGTCTTGATACACAGGCTCTCTGCAGGATGTGACATGTGCCATACCAAGACAAACCACAATGGTCCATAAAAAAAAAAAATCAGGAAACCCTGGTTTAGGCTATGAGATAACCAAAGTAGAGTGTCTATATTTCATTCCAGCTGTTGTTTGGATGATCCAGGGCACTTAAATGATCTTTAGATAGGCCAGACATTGACACTAGAATTATACTAGCTCTGTCTGGTAGAAAACTCGCAAATTGAATTATCAGAACAGCAGAGCAGCTGTTGAAAAACCAAATGGATGATACAGCAAAGAACTCTCAGGCTAGAGCCTGAAAATACTCTTAATGATTTGGATATTTCTCTTTTTTGGTATCCAACATTAAGTATATCACAGGCCCCAAATAACAGAAATAGTGAAAACATAATCCTAAATTCTTCATGCTTCTGAACAGTTGTCTTGAAAGAAAAATGCATAGAGCAGAGGCACACTGAGCTGTGCTGCTGCTGCTGAAAAAAAAAAAAAAAAAAGTAGTAATAGGCTGTGGATCCCATAGAGACATTGGATATATTCCACACCTTTCCCTACTTCTTTTATAAAGAACTGACCAAATACCCCTCAGATGCCTGTCATAAAAGCATTGTCTAAAGAGGTAATTCAGAAGACATCATATTTGCATGCAGACCCTGTACTAAGTGCTCTGGCAGTAACTAGCAATACCTCTACGGAATCACAGTGTAAAGCAAGCCTATATAACTTACAGATAGAACTTGGGATTCATAGATGTGAATAATTTCATTCTATATGGTATGATCAAGTGGTGAATTTACCACAGCTGTGACACTTTCTTCAAATGTTTAGTTACTACATTCTGTTTCAGTTCCAAACTGTAAAGATCTCAGAAACTATGCAGGTGGAAGAGTTAAATGTAAAGTTATAAACATCTGATTTAAATAAATTTGTTACAGAGAGCTGTCCTTTAAGAAAGGAGATACTGTCTATATCCTCAGGAAAATTGATCAAAACTGGTATGAGGGTGAGCACCATGGAAGAGTTGGAATATTCCCAATTTCTTATGTCGAGGTTTGTTCTCTGTTTTAATTTTTTGAATTAGTTTGGATAATAGGTTCACAAACTGCATGGGAATGATGAAAATTTGTGGTTTTTCTTTTTCCCTTAGAAACTTTTTCTCCCAGAAAAAGCACAGCCTGTCAGGCCACCTCCCCCTGCACAGATTGGAGAGATTGGAGAAGCCGTTGCCAAATACAATTTCAGTGCAGACACAAATGTGGAGTTATCACTTAGGAAGGTACAGCTTAGAACTTCTTTATCAAAATACCATTATAGTCTCTACCGCTACACGGAATTAAGATATAAGTAAATAGTGTGCACTGGTGCACTCTGCATTTAGTATTTGCTGTGCACAAAGCAATGTAATGGTAGGAAACTACTGACATACTAACACAATATCTTATTGGCTTGCAGCCTTTCACAGCCACCTGCAAATAGTTGAAATGTGTGTGTAAACTGGATTGTGGTAGATTAGCACATGCAAGAGTGTTAATTGCCCACCTGAATTTCCAATTTTCATTTCAATTATGCATTCCTTTTCTTAATAATTAGTTCTTGGTGTTACACCTATCATGGTAAAGTTTTTTTAATATAGAATAGAAAAATACAGAAAAGATAAAATAGAGGAAAAAAGGCTCAGATATTTTTGTGAATGTACCAGTTCTTGAAAATATTTAATTTAATAACACTCTCCTTTGTATAACATTCTCTTATCTTTTCTGTGCACATCCTGGTGGTTATATTTTATTGCACATGAGTAAAATAGTGTTGAATTTCTGAGGTTTGAGAGACACTAGAATGTTACCACTGTAGAGAAACTTTATTATTGCAGATATTACATACTTAGTTGTAAGTAGTATATACTTTTTATCCACTGGAAAGTTCTGCCTCTTTTTTTTTAAGTTTAAGTTATTCAGTGGTTTGTTTTTCTTTTCAAATAAGAGTTAAGGATACAGTTTTATGATGCTGACCTAGAGCATCACTGAAGATAATGCATGTTTTTCCACTCATTTGAGATTGGTAAGCATCAAAGAGGTCTAGAAAAAAATCAGGAATAGGAACTTAAGAAAAGTAGGGGCTGGGGGTAGTTTGATGATTTATTTATTTTTTAAATTATCTTTTGTGCTTATTGTGGTGGTTGTAATCTTGACAGACCAGTTCTGGATTGTTTTTAAAAGTTAACTTGCACTGGGTTTTTTTTGTTCCATCCCACTAAAGATAATTTTGGGATACTCCACAAATGATCACAGAAATAAAATTACAGAAACCCAAAGAGAACACAAAATAAAGAGGGAAGGATTTGTTACAAAAAGACACATGATAAAAAGCTCATCATGTAAAACAAAGAAGGAGGTAGCCCACAAAGTTTCACTACAGAGAAACGTTTGAATAGGAAGTTGATATTTTCCATTTCAGTTCCTAAGCTCTCTAAAACCAGAAAGTGACCCACCACCCACATTTTTTAAACAGGAAAAGCAATTCTTTCTCTCATCTTTCCCATGAATTCATTTTTTAACTTTCAACTTATTCCAGTTCTACTGATAACAAAGCACTTTCATGGATTTCATTAACTATTATCACTTTTAAGGAAAAGCGGGCATAGCAGTCACTATTGCATATTACAGTTATGCTGTTAGCTAGTAGTTTAGCAGTTAAACCAAGTTACATTCCGGAGAAAAGTTTAAATGTTAATCCCCCAACCAAGAGTAGGAGATTACCTGAGATTCCCCTCTGATAAAAAAATAGCATTTGCTGTCCATGACTAGCCCCCTGTTTCTCTGGAATGGTGGTTGTATACATAGTTATTATAAATGGGAGAAGAAATGTGAAAATGGAGACGATTCTCAAGCCTGATGGGAAACAGCACTGCAGGGACAATAATACTATGTGTTCAAATAATATCTGCTTTTCAAAAAATGAACTTACAGTGTATCTGCTGATAAGTTATTTTCATAATGTATTTCAGGGAGACAGAGTAATTCTTCTTAAGCAAGTTGATCAAAACTGGTATGAAGGTAAAATACCAGGAACCAACAGACAAGGCATCTTCCCAGTATCCTATGTAGAAGTCGTCAAAAAGAATGCATCAAAAAGTGTTGATGACTACTCTGATCCTCCAATACCCCAAAGCTATTCTAGTGACAGAATACACAATTTAAGCTCAAGCAAGGTAAGGATTTTTTTTTTTCTTTGCTATAACCCCTAGAGTGGGTTTAAAAGGAATTGCATTGCTGACTTGTTACTAAAGTATTTTAATAGCTGAGTGTGTGTCTTCTATTCTTCCAGGGTTTTTGCTCTTTTTATTAGCTATTACATTATTGAGACTAGGGCCAGGCAGAATTTGGGCAGAAAAATCAAGCCAATAGAACAAAATTTATTTGGGAATCTTATACAGAATTTGAACATTAAGGATATGTCTAGTAGACTTTTCATAGTGCAATATGAAGACATTCCCATAACACAGCTTCCTAAAAGGCTGCAGTCCCATGAGCACGCAGAGGGCAAGCAGTTTGTATGGGGACACAGCTTGCCAAGACCAGTTCTGTGCCTTTCAAAGTAAAGGAGAACAGCTAATGATTCTGTACCATAACCCTCCTCCTTTTGCCATTCACACTCGAGAAAGAGGCTGTTGGTACAACAGAGGTTCGTTGGAGCGGTACAACAACAGTGACAGTATTGTTTCATTTAGTAGTGAGGCAAATGTCATCACATTGCCAATGAACTTGGATTCAGACCTTTGTAGTTGTAATTTTTCACACCAAATGTCTGCCATAGGTTCTGAATTCTTTTCCTTTCTAGTTTGTATAACAACCACAAATACAGGATGTTGCAAAAAGATTCCTGTGTTGTGATTTATCATTCACATGTGAGATTTCAGTCACCTGTGCAGGGAACATAACCTCTTCAGCAGTGATAGAAACTAAGAAAGTTTCTGCATACAAACTGTGATGAGCATTAATGTATTATCAATTATTTTGAATGCTCAAGATGGAAGTTTTTCTGAATCTTTCTCTTTACCTTTGTTGTTTATCCTTCAGCATAAGCAGTGGGGCTTGTGCATCATTATAAATTTCTTATCCTGCTATTAATCTCTGTTTGTTTCAGTTGGGTTTGTCCCCTTTTCTACTTTCATATACTTGCATACTGGTGCTCATTTATGCGCTTCAGCTTTGAGATAAATTCCACATTTTTTTGCAGCTTTGGGGACAGCTACCAAAAGATGTCCTTTATAGACAACAGTGGCCTCTGAAAATACTGCTTACAATATTAGCTGGTTTTGGATAGTTGCTAGAATAGGTCTTGTCTGATTTTCTGGAATGTGTCACAACAGAGAACTAGCTCCTCTCTTCTCCATTCCAACAAAACTGTTGAATAGAAGTAGCATCAAATTCTGTAACTACAGCCTGAGGTATTCCTAAACTATAGGCCTCTTATTATTACAGGGATCCAGGGGTTCCTGAAGGCAAGTCAAGAGTATGAGGCAACTTAGGTGCTCCATATTAGAGCTCTGTCTCTGTATTTGGAGATGCCTCCCTCCCCATTTTCTGTGGAGCAGGCTTGTCTCTTAAGGCATCCTGCAGCTAAAGCTGGTGTTTGTGTAAACCCTGTAACCCTTGTTGAGCACAGGTGATTCTTCAGAACATTTACATTCAGAGGAAGAAGGTGGAAGAAGCCTTATTTGTAACACAGGAAATTTTTGCAATCATCTGGTTCTAGCATTCTAGGATAAGTAAAAAAAAAAAAAAAAGCCTCTGCCAACACTTTTAAACAGACATCTTGTTTCTGAATTCAACTGTATTCAGAAGTGGCAATACCTTGTAAGAAGACATCTTGTTCCTGACTACCTAGAAGGACTTCAGCAGTCCTGAACGTATTTTGGAGTTTACCACAATTACTGGTATCATTTTCCTATTTCTTTGGAGTTTTTTAGCTTGTATCACTCCCTATTGCTAGAGAATTGTGCTAAACTTCTTTGGCCTAATGTCAATTAAAACAAATAAGCAATACAAGTCAGAATCCAGCTTTGCTCTCCTTCACTTGGCTTAGACCATCTATGTCTTTAGCTCTAGTGCAGCCTGTAACCACGAGAAACTAAAGATGGCAATGTCTCCTTGGCAGTATTGACCTTAAAACCACAGGTTAGAGGCCCTTGTTCAAGAGGGAAGATGAGGGAAAGAGATTGAGTATTGCTTGTAGCAGCCTAGCTCTGTTTTAGCAGACTGCATTGTATCAGTCTGTACTGCTTACTTCGGTACAGAAGACTCTGTGACAAAGGTTTGTCTAACTATAAAATAAAGCTATTTGCCTCAAGAAAACTCAAACCAGAAGGTAAGTAAATTAACCTTCCTCTTCTGCCACATTAATTTAGCCTTTTGAAGTTATTTTCCTATTCTAGAGTAATACTTAAAGTCTAAAGCAGTTCAGATAACTTAGAGATGTACATCTAATTATTCTGGATAATTCTAACAATGAGATCAAAATATATTTTCACTTAATTTTAATTTTGAGGATTAATAGTAACAAAAATGCATTTTCAGTATTTACTGAAGCAATGGATATCTACTGATGCTGTGTACGTATGACTCACCAGTCTCTCATTCTTACAAAAGGACATTTCTTTTACCAGAAGGATACTTCAATCAATATTATGTAACGGTACTCAAAATACACTGCTGTGTAGTGTGCTGCCACTATTTAAAAAGTGTTGTTGACTGCCTACATTCAATTCTAATTGAATGTACCTTTCACAAATGTTGATGTCAGTTTGAACTAATAGGGTTATTTTGGAAAAAAAAAAATGCATTCTGTAGCTGCTTATGCCTAATAAAAGTATGCTATGTATTAAAGATGTTTCTTAAACATTTACTGAGAAGTACTAAGAAAAAGTAGGAGTGTTAACATTAGGATAATTAGAAATCATGTCAGTTGTTACAGTTTAAAAGAAACACTTCATGACCTCTGAAGTATACTTCTGGAAATGCTATTCACAAAATAATAGTAATGGTTCAAGGAAAATTAATATTAATTGTATGATTTAATAACCTGTGACAGGCTCACTAACAGAGCACCATAAGTAACATAACTTTAGCAGATCAAATGCAGGTTGCCTTCATAATGTAATGATTCAAATCTGTCTTAATGTTTGACATTTAAGCCCCAAGCCAAAACCTGATACAGTTTCATTTTTCAAATGTCTGTCCTGCTGTTCTGATTCATGTAGTAATGATTTCAGACACCTGTGCTCACTGAAATGACACCCTATAATCCAGATGATGGCACAGACATTTTTCTTTTCATCTACTCATATCCTAATTCTCTGCCATGCTTATTTATTTATTTAAATTACCTTTTTTTTTTATTTTTGAAGTTGGCTTCCCAAGCCCTGTCCCCACTTTCCAGACACCTTTCCTCCTCTTGGTCATGCACTGATCAAAAGATTCTCCAGGCTGCCACCAGTGACTGGTCTTCAAAGACTGTTGGTTTTTCACCTTCAAGTGTGTGCATTTTACTGCCTCCACTATTTCCAGACAGTTTTCTTTGTGACTTAGAAGAACTCAGTTCCTTGGCATTAACAACATCCCAATCTGTAGCAAACTCCCCAGGTAATAGCACTCACCAAGTTGAGGATGATCACTTTATTCCAAATACAGAGGTCTCTCTCAGGTCTCCTGCAGCTCTTCCTCTGTCCTTTCTTGTATCTACGTCTGTCTCATCTTCAACTAGCTCTTCTCATGAAATAGCATATAAGCATACCAGCAACAATACCAAACCAGGAAAAGAGAAAGACTTGAGAGGTATACTTCACTCTTCAGTTAGTGAAGTACCTAGAGACTTGTCAGATACTACAACAGAAGGTGAACATGGTGCTATCTGTAACATCCCTTCACCACATGAAGGTGGCTCTGTCTCCAGAGTGCTAGCTGCAGCTGCTGAAAATGAAGAGGAAATCTGTGCTCCAGATCTGTCAGTTAATATAGGGGATCAGTCAAAGCCTCAAGAATCAGATTTCTTCAGAGGAGCACAAGATGCAACAGAGGAACTGACAAGACTCTATATAGAGGAGGATCCGGGACATGACAATTTAGAATTCCCAATAGCAAGTGGAGGAGACTCCATGGTGTGTTATGAAGGATATACTTCAACTAATATTGATAAGGTATTTTAATTTCTTAAAATCCTGGCTTCTGTGTTCAGATAGCATACTCAATATAACTATTCTCTGCCTTTTCTTGTATTTACGTGTTTGAATTGTGCACAGGCACAGTTTTACATTACTTCATTCGATAAAAATTGTCTGTGTTAGGGGATAGTCCCTTCTCAGAAGCAGGCGTATACACCATTTTAAGTTTTTTGGTGTATCAATTCTGCTGGTCCTTTCCCTTCTGTCCATGTTAGCTGCCATAAAGTTTCTGATGCGAGAAGCCAGTGAACCATTTTCCTCGCTGGGCCCGTTACATGCCACCACTTTTGAGCCGGAGGCCCCAGCAAGCAAATGCTATCGACAGCCTTCAGAGGGAGGGACATGCCTCCTGCAGAGACTCAGTGGTTTGTACTTCACATGTGTCACTTCATCAGATGATATATTTATAGTAGGCTCTGTTATGAGAATGTGACTAATAACAGATCAGATTATGTCTGGCAGTTAAACAAATGCTTCCCCCTAAAGCCCTCCCCAGTTCTTTTTTGGGACAGTACAACACTGGACTATCCCAAAGGTGTGCTAGCCATTAAATGCCACAATATTGCTACACAGTTTGTGTGGTTTCTAGGCAAAGTTTTAGAACAGATTTTTTCTGTCCAGTACTTATTTCAGCAGACTGTTCAAGCAGTTGGTTTGGCTGGCACACGCAAACGTGCAAATCAGATACCTCGGACAATATGTTATAGGCCAAATGTAAAATTAGTTAATTAGAAAGATTTTGCAAGCTGCCTCTACTCTTACTTGACCTGAAAAACACAGGGGAAAACTTGTTTTGATTTCTGAAGGAAGAATTTTCTTCCAGAAAAATAGACTAATAATAAAATTAGCATCACATTTCTGACGGTTCAGATTAGTTACATGACTCCTTACTGAGCATTTTATGCCCTTTACAGCTGGTTTTATAGCACAATTACTTTTCATTTTTCTTAAACATTTAAGCCAGCTCTGCTTTCCGTGGGAACATCAGGAGACTCTGATCCTCCTTTGCACCTTTCTTCTAATCTTCCATTTAACTCTGCCAAGGCACCAACTTCTCACTCTGTTCCTACAACATCCCTGTCTACTGCTTCCCTCTCACCTCCTCTCCTTTCTAAACGTTTACATCAGCAGGATAAAGACCCACCCAAGTTAAAGGTAACTGCATCTCTTGAGTATGGATTGTTGCCAATCTTTATGTATATTAAATAACTGCAAGGCTAACACTGAGTTTGCTCTTTTCAGATGTATTGTTTCCTTTACTAATATTAAGTAACATAGCACATGGAGTATTAATATAGGCCTTCTTCAAATGAAATACAAGGTAAAACTATAGCCGTTATGATACAATGAAATAGCTTAAGGGGGAACCAGTGACAGGAAAGCAGAAAGCCTTCAACTCAATTTCAAGTCCATACAAGGACATTAGTAACTCTTCTTTAATTGAAAAAAACAAAACAAAACAAAAAAACCCAAAATCTTATTCAAGTATGCAGAAACTAAGTAACATCTGTAGTTTAAAAGCATTTTCAATTTCAATCCAAAGCCTGGGAGAACAGTCATAGATTTCACAGTAATGCACCACTGCAGAGGGTCATGTTCTAAATACCAATTCTACTAGTCAAGGACTGAACAAAGATTATTCCCTCTTCAGGACTACGGTTTGTCTCAGCATTGCAGCACTGTGGCAGAAAAGTGAAATCTGGAAAGTTGCTTTGGACAAAGTCAATTTCCAGTGCTGACTTCCAGAGAGTCCATTTTCTCATGAAAAGGAGAAAAAAGTCATGTAAAAAGTTTGGCAAACTATCCTGGAAAAAGTGATCATTACATCTATGGAAAAAAAAAAAATCTTTAAAAAAAAAATCTACCACATCTTACAATGTGTGTTCACAGAAAACCCAGACATAATGGACTTAAAGAAGTCTTAAGGCCCATCAGATCTGTTGGGTTTTTTTTCCCAAAGTAGGGAAGAAACATAAGGGTTCTTTACAGGGCATGAATCTGTCATGGACTTAGGTATGTCTCACCTCAGTTGTGCAGTGCTTTTGATGGGTACTTTTTGCTTACACTAACCAACAAAATTCAGAAAATTCCTTATCTACACTGAAATTCTGATATTCCTTGCCCTTGTTTGAGCAAGGCATATTAACCCCAGCTGAAAATAAATAGAAGGAATATTTCTTCTCAGAATTAAAAGATCTGCTCCTGGGAACCTCCCGGACAGTGTACTGCTCTTCATTGGGCAAGGCAGGAAGCAAGGCACTGGGTAACTAAGGGAGATGACTCCATCTTGCAGATACAAGAGTCTGAGTCCTGAGAAGGACTAGAGGTTGGGGAGCTGTTACAGAATTCTAGCTCTTAATTATTGTTTTCAAACCACTTCAAATCTTGATTATTTTTTAAATCTTGGGAACAGATTCCTTTATAAACTTAATCAGTATAGTTCTATCTATTTGAAAATTGTTGAAATTATTAGGTACACTCCCAGCACAACATATTTTTTGTACAGTATTTCCAAAATGAGATGAGGACTCCTTTCTTCCCAAGGGTAAGCAAACTTTTTTCAGCAGTCAACACTGACTATGTGGGAGGATAGAGTTAGATTAAAATAAGTGTAGCCAGGTTTAGCTGTCATAATTTCTTGCTACTTAGCCTACAGACTGGACTTTAGAAGGAAGGACAGTTCCTATCCTCTTCTCTTTATGCATGTTGTCCATACTCCAAGTCTGTTCTCAACTGCTACAGCAGAAAGAACACGAGACATTTCCAGGACTCAAATATCGTAAGTGAAGGGGGGTTCTTCAGAGAGTTCTTGAAACCGTATACTGATACTTTGGTAATTTTTGTTGATGTAAAAATACATGCATATGTGTATGTGTAAATATATTTGGAACGTGGCTCAAATCTAAAGCATGACCAGGGATTGGGAGCAATAGAATACAAGGAGCTATGGGTGGGGAGTGTTACCTTGCTCCATGGTGATAGGAGGGATGTGTCCTAGAACGCTGAAGACACTTCCCAAGGAGAAATGCTGATGTTTTCCTGCCTCATTGAACTCCCTTAGTATCCTTTTTTTTGTTTGTTTGGTTGGTTGGTTTTTGGTTTTGTTATTCACTGTCTCAGCTCCTAAGAGGGGGCTGTTCTTCTGTGTTGACACATTTTACTGGCAAACAGTCAGAAATACCAAAGAAAGGTTTCAAATAGCAGCACTCCACTCCTCTCGCATTCCCCCTGACTCACCACTGCCCCTAAGAATTCGTATTTGCTGCACAGCCCCCCTTAGGAGCTGAATTCTGACAAATATATAGCTGATTTATAGTGATATTTACAAAGTGAAGATTTTCCCTTTAAGTACTTTCCATCAAGTATTTACTTGCTTTCTAAATGCAAATTTAATGTCCATGTTCTGTTTAACACCAACATTTGTTACTAGTATTTCTAAGATAGCATTTTTGTTCTGTTCAGTTGAGCTTTTCTATATTATTAACTGAGCTACTTCAGTGGGTACACTTGCAATAACTGTTCTTACTCCAACTGCATACACTGTGCATGATTAATCTTTGAACTGTAATGTGTAAGGGCATGTGCCAGAGCAGCAAAACCCTTGGAAGAAAGATACTGTGAGAACAATGAATATACCATATACCAATAGTACTGTTATTTGCACCTGTAACACACTTGCTTTTTGTTATCAGGAAGAGCATGTGCAGTTTGCATGTATGAATGAAGCCACAAAAATCCCATGATGCTTCATTCTTAAACTCTCACTTGACACAGTTTTTGTGGTTTTTCTAGGCTAATTTAAAGAGAGAGATATTTGTTATGGGTAAACCTCCTCGTAGCCCAGTGATGACTAAGAGATCCTGCAGCTCACCTGTCAGAGGTCACATCTATTCACACAGGGTATGGTACTGGACGCCCAGTGTGCAGTAACAGTATTTCCATAGAAAAAGAGCTCAGTGTCCAGTCTTTCAGTATTTTGCTTTGCCCAAGTGTCTCAATACTATTGGTATGCTGTGTTTTCTTCCTGTTGTGCTTCTGTGCAATGTCTGAGTAAAGCCAACAGGTCCGTGTGCCAAAATTTATTTTATAAATCCATTAGTATATTGTATCTCTGCAGTACTACACAGTATTTCCAGTGCTATAAGATGTAAGAGATCAAAATTCTTTAAATTTAGACTTTTCCTAAATTACACCTCTGTTTCAAAGCATTCCTAATTTCTTAAAACTACAGCTTCTAAGAGTCAAAAGTGTATACTTCATTGCATGTATACAGGCTGAATTCTTGTTTTTAAATCCATGTCCTTTTCAAAATGTTTTGTTGCTCCTATATTCACTCAATACTATCCTCTTTATCTAAGCACTGTTATTCTAGACTGTCATACTCTCTAGCCTTTCGTTTCATATCTGTAATATAACAGTAACATAACTCTAATAGGTCTACCAAGTCGGAAAGATTGTTTATGCATGTTTCACTCCAAAATGTGATCTAAATCATGAAAAAATACTCAAGCTAGATGAGAATAAGAATTTATGAGTTATGTTTTATTTTCAGTTTAGGACTAAATTATTCTTTGCATTGGTTTCTTAACATTTGGCTCTTAAAACTGATAATAGGGTGAACTGTTTTCCATCCTGTTGCTGCTGATTTTAGGTTATCATCTTTCTGGTGGTTCCCTTTTTAAAATCAGAATTTTAATTTAAGATATGCAGGTTTGTGTAACTTTTCAAAGTCTTGGCTTTTTGGCAGGACTGTTTGCTACCAGGTATGAGGGGACAGTACTTTCTTCATTTCTGAAGGGAGACAATTTAGTCATAGGAAGGCCAGAATTATTGTAGTAGAGGATCAACACCATCCCAAAGTCCAACTGGGAGTAAGAGCTATAAAAAAAGGGATTAAGCCCTGTTTTAATTTTGCGTGTATCTCCAAATGAATGCCATGTAATCAATACATCTAGAGGACCGTATTGGTCAACGTTTAGTGCATTTATGTCTTTAATTTCAAACGTACAAGACTACAAATTATACACCTAATTTGCATGTTCAGGACTATAAAGAATGCAAGCGCTTATCAATCATGCATGAAAATCAGGTGTACAACTGGGACAACTGATGTGACTACACACTTTTTTAATGTTTTTGGGGTTAGGCCCTCTGATTTTTCCCAGAAAACAGGGTAGTGTAGTGAACTGAGATGTAGTTAGAAACCATAAATCCTATGCACTGAGAGCTACTCCTAGGGTGATGCACTTCATGACATCTCTTGAGCAAAACTAGCCAGGCCTTGCAACAGTCCCCATTCTAGCCAGTGACACTGTATATGGGAATGAGAGCTTAGGAAAAGAAAACGAGGAGAAAGCTTCTTGATGTCAGCTGGGACACTACTGAGGAATGCATTCGGATAGAGAGAGCACTCCAAGGGCCCCCTGTTCAGACATAACACAAGAGCATTTCACCCTAGTTTTCCCAGATTCTAAGAAGATAACACTGACGTACCTAATTTCTTCCTGGCTTGTTATATGTTCAAAGCATTAAATAAATAATTAGGAGTATTGCTTAAGACATTGACTTTTGCAAGAAAAATTCTTACCTCAATTGAGTTCTCTTGCATCTCTGACTATCTTTCGCATTCAGCTCAGTTATGGACCTGATGAAAGATTAGCAGAGAATAATAGCAAGCAATCTGCCTAGTGGAATATTCTTACCTTACTCAGCAAGTCAACTGTTGAAGAGGGTTTACTGAGAACTGAAATGTTTCATTTACAATCTTTATTGTTGGATTCTTCAATAAAAATTATCCATCTTTCTTGTACACCAGCAGAGAAAGATTAAATGAGGGAGAGAAGAGAGTCAAAGAGCATAAACAAATTTTTTTAAACTTTAAAAACCTCTTTCCCACCTAGCTGTCATTACTGTCAATAAGAGTTCTGTAATCTACCTGCCTGCATCTTTAGGCACCTTTTTAAATTATACTCTACAGACCGTAAAAATGAAGCGGAGAATGTTCACAATATTTTCTGTGTGTATGCATACAAACACAATGAAAAGAAATGTAACTACCTCAATTTCATTTGGAGACGTTGGGAGGGGAAGGAGGAAAAAGAAAAAAAAAAAAAAAAAAGGAAAAGGAAAACCACAGTGCTTTTTAACACTAGATATCATCAGGCTGTGGGTTGTTTACCCAGGCCCTCTGTCATGGAAGACTGCATCATCTTCAAGAGTAAACTGAAGCAAGATGAACTGAAATAGTCAAACCTGGGAAAGGGAGAACCATGGAGCGATAAGACAAATCCCACAGCTTCAAGATCAGGTTGCAGTTTACTCAATTCATGAAAGAAAGTGCTATGAGCTGTGTTTTGATATCCACACTCCCAAAACAGATACAGTTCCCAGACTTGTATCAGGCTGTCAGTCTCTACAGCACAACCATAGGGCATCCTCAGTCAACAGTGAATATGATCAGTGCTCACATCAAGAGCTATCCCAAGCAGCTGCTCCTGTGCTGTTTCTGGCCTCAGCTAGATTCTAATCGGTATAAGTCAATGTCTTCCTAAGCAGGATATGGTTTCTGTAAAAGGTTAATGTTTTCATTTCCACCGCATCCAGATTTATTGGATATTAGTGGTGGGTAGTGCTCCATTAAGAAGGAAAGTAGTTCCTTTCTTAAAGCTTTGCACTGGAAATACAAACTACTTTTTCCTCAGAAGTAGAAGTGTTAATTGTTATTTTCACACAATTATATGTATCCTTTCAAAAGTTCTTTCTGCTCTTTGCCTCCCAAGAGCCTGCATGGCTTTGTGTTCCCCCTCGAGATGAAACAGAATTAAAGCATAGCATGTTTTGCCTGCCAAGTTAGTACTCTCTCTGTGTGTGTAATGTAAATTGGTATGTTGTTTGTCTGTGAATATTCTGAATTCTGCCATTACGTGCAGGAGATTTTATTTCTGCTTTTCTAAAAATATACTTCGCTCAAGGAATGTATAATGTTCATCAGTCGCATCTGATTTTTCTAATGCTATTTCTGTTTCACAGTGAAGAGGCAGCAGGATTCTATTCCAACTTTCAACAAAACTATAAATAGAATGGACTGTTGATGAAGTTCACAGTTTTGTTTTAGTTTTCATTATGTTCTCCAAAAATCAGATCTTTAAACCTGCCACAATTCTGTTGCTTGCCATGTCTCTTAAGAATTTATTGTGAGTTGGAAGTGGGGGGAGGTGGGGGCCATGTGTTGCTTTACACAATGTAGAATATGAACTCTCAAGTGACTGTGTATAATGCCCCTATCCAACTATTTCGACCTTAGACCACAAATCTTTATTACATTGCAAATCATTTCATTTCAGCCACAGCGCCCTGTGCTTGCTCATGAAAACATACACAGTGGGGGGGAACCGTAAGTATACTTCTTGTCTACTAAACCAAAACCTAACATTTAAGCAATAGCGAGCACATCATCAAATAATTTGTTAATCTGCCAAGTACAATTATGAAGATATTTCAGAAATTTACAGATAACCGCATGATATAGGAAGATATCCAAGAAGGTCCCAGAGGACAAAGCCTTAGTTGTTTAATTTACATCCAACTCGGACAGACATGCCAACTTACAGTTCTCAATCATTTACGCTTAAAAGGGATAATAATTTTGTAAAAATAGACTTTGACTCGTTTTATTCTCTCCATTTTTACATCTCAGCAGAATGCCAATTAAAGATTTAACACCTATTCATCTCATCTGCTTTACTGATTTGATACAAATTAGTCAGAAACAGTTCTGGATGTGAATAGAGAAAAAAAAATAATGTTGATTACAGGAACACAGGCTCACCCTTTTTGGTGTAATTTACATATGCAATTTAAAAATTAGGTACAAGATAGCCTTTCTGAAAACTGGAAAAGAACCTAGATCTCAAGTCATATTTTCACAAACAATGTAAGCACTTAGGCTAGTTCAGTGCTGACTGTTAAGATGCAAGTTCAGTGCAAGATTGTTTTGAATTCCCTCCCCACCCCAGCCTCGCAGTCAGACCCTGCTTCAGTGATCACTGAAACCTGTAGCCATTCTTCCTCTAGCATCAGAGCACTTCGGAGCATGCCTAATAGAGGAATTCCCCTAAATGTAACTAAGGCTTAGCATCTAAAAGTATTTAAAAATTTACAAGTTAGTCACTTGAAGAAATGGCAAGAGAGAAGAGAGGGGCAAAAAGTTACCAACTATACCACAGATAAAATGAAAACTGGATGGTTTTGTTTCAGTTTCACTAAAACCACAAGCTACTTTGGTATTGTTGAGCGTACTGAAGCACCTAACTCTGTTTTGTAAGCAGTAATTTTCTAATTAATTTTGTTCAATATAGTTTAAGTAGTTCATAACTAAAGTTACTTATTTCCAGAATTAAGACAGAAATATATTTAAATTTCCAACCAACCATTCTGTCTTGAATATGTATTCTCTTAGTGTTGTAAATGGTAGTAGAGTTTTCATACTTTAAAAAAAATCATAGATTAGCAAAGAGAGAATGAAATTACTACTAAGGGTTATTAAAATGAATTATCTAGAAATTACTAAGATTAGATTTCTAAAACGCAAAGAGTGTTAATTTGGAAGCTCTTGTTGCTGCTGTATTCGAGTAAGTTATTGGCTTGAATCCTATTCATGACACATTACATCTGCAACTCCTGTACTTCTGGAAGCTGCATTTAGTGATTTTTGGTATATCATCATAGCTGTGCGTTCCTGAAATAATGATAAGCGTGACAGAAAATGTTACTGCCATTTAAGTTTTTGCACAGATTGTTCTTACTCCTGCTACACAAATTAACAGAGGTAATTGCTTAAACAACTGAGTCCCAATCCATTTTGTTGCTGTGATTAAAATATAAAATTAAAGTTTTCAGATTTGGGGACATAATTGCCAGTCATGGGAAATTAACTTAAAATGAATTTTTTCTCCAAACCAGCAATGTGAGTAATAAGTGTAGGTTATTCAAGACCACCATCATTACACTAAGCCTAGCACCAGTCTGTATATAAGATTTTCAAATGGGACTTTCAAGAGCAGGAATTTTTTTACTGAAATAAGCATCTCATTTAAGCCATGGAAACTCTGCCTGAATGATACAGTACTAATAGAAATATTCAGTACCAACACATTAAAGGGGGAGGTGGGGTTTTTTAATTGGGGGAAGTGTAACGGCATTAAGGTTTTAAAGTCAGTAAACTGTTGTTGAGGGAAAGGTGGACATGACTGTTTTGTTTCAATATTTTGAAATTAAAACTATTTCAATTGTCCAATTTCTGCAGTTGTACCCTGCTCCTTTACATGCAGTTAGTCATAGCTGGGGCACAGATGGTTAGAAAAAGCAACAGATTCTGTCTCTGCAGGACTCAGGCTTTTGCAGCAATCTTCCCATGGGCTGCCAGCCCAAGCACTTTCAGTTCCCCCTATCAAAACTTTATTGCCATTCTTTCAATTCCAAGAAATTCAATTAAAAGCTGACAAGGAATGAAAGATAATAAATTTAGTAATTTTGTGCCTCTTTCCATTTATCCACTTTACATCCTTCAATCCATAGCTCCTGGCTGGGGTGGAGGTACAGGTCTGTGTCTGAATACTGTTTGAGTTTCCATCCTTATGTCCCTCCACTTGATTCAAGCCTCTCCCTCACTGTCAGAGATATTTATTTAAATGTAGATATATATATATAGGAGGGACAGTTTTGACCAGGGAAGGGCTTATGGCTGTTGTATGTTTCCAAATAGCAATTACTCTCAACCTTCCCACAGAGGAAGGCACCTCGTTTCCATGCAAAGCTCCTGTAGTGCCAAGTTTTTTGCCTCAGCAGTTGTTACTAGGGAGCCCAGGGTGGTCCCCTGTCACAGAGGTAGTGTGGGTGAGCTGCTCTCCTAGGGATCCTCCTCCACCGATGACAAAAGGTCACCAGGCACCTTGCTTTGGCTGTGTGTGCCCCTTTGCTGGGGCAGAGAAGGCATTCTCTCTCCAAGTGGCATTCAGCTCTCCAGAGCTTAAAAGCAGAGCTACAGTTTTAGATACCGATCATGGGGGTTAAGGGGCATCTACATACTCCCCTCTAGAAGTCTTCTGTTTTGGTGCCTCAACTATAAAATAATGCCAAAAACCCCCCACCTCTAGACTCCTGTGTTCAAAGGAACTGGTTGAGGAGCCATCAGGCTTGCCTTGAGTCCCAGTCTTAGGGTCTGATGAGTTACCTTTCTGATAAGGTTTTATTTATTTACTACAATTTTGTTTTTCTTTACTATTTATTACTATACCTAGCCCTGAAGGCTACCAGGCAAAATAAACCCTTTTCCTCTATATTTGCAAGAAGTGTTACTTACTAGTTAATGTTTAAACCAGCTCCTTTACTTCAGCAAAGGTGCAAAGAACTCTTACTTCTTTTTAAAATACATCATTTGTCCTATTTAAGGTTTCAGGCTCTATATAACTATACTCCTAGGAACGAAGATGAATTGGAGCTCAGAGAGGGAGATGTCATTGATGTGATGGAAAAATGTGATGATGGATGGTTTGTGGGTATGTTTTTAATTCAATTGCTTTTTCCTTATTTTTTTTCCTGACCTTTTCTGCCCTCTTTGCTTGACATCTATTAAACAAATTAATGTTTGGTATTCAGTGTGATTAATAAATCTGAACCTGGCTTTATTAGGAGAAATCCTAACCAAAATCCACTGAAATTAGCATGCGATTTCTCACTTGTTTCTTTTGGAAGTGATGGACACAAATTGACATGTGCATCCAGCTTGCTGGACAGCACTGTTGTCAGTCTCATATGACACAAAATGGACTATGTATTACTGCTTCCTTTATAAAGACCAGGTAACATAAAACTTACTCACATGAATACATCTGCAGTACTGACTACTTGTGAGAATCAAGTACTATTGAACAAACAGAGATTTCCTATCTAGGACTAGATAAGGTGGCTTAATCATTCCATAAACCCTCATGCATACAGTGGCTAACTTAATCATCTAACTAGTTCTCACCATTTCAAAAATTCACGTTATTTAAATAGACTTGATGTGACTGAAATTAAATTATTTCTATGTACCAAGTCAAAATTTTAGCACAGCTTTTAATCAGGCCTAACAATCAAATATGCCTCTTTATTTGCTTTTTCCTTCCTGCACTTATAATTTGTTAAAACTCACAACTCACTAATGAAATTCAAAATAACTTTTTGAAGTTATAAAGAACTGTAGATATTTCTGTTTGTGCAATATTAAATATAAAAAATTTGAAGGCCATGCTTACATAGTGATTTTCTGTTGTTATTCCCATCTTTCATCTATTGCTTCTAATTTCAGGAACCTCAAGAAGAACCAAATTCTTTGGTACTTTCCCTGGAAACTATGTCAAGAGGCTATGAATTTTGTTTTCCTACTTATTTATGTTGCATCTCTGCAACACATCTGCATAAAGCTGCTAGAAAACATGCTACGCTGGCCTTCTGTTTTCTTGCTTGCAGTCTCAAATAGAGGCCATCTAGTTCATCCTCATCCCATCCCACCCGCCAAACTGTTCCAGCAGTATTACAGCAACGACCACGGTGTGAATAACTAAGCTTTTCTGAAACAAGAGGAATCGTTTCAACATGTAAAAACTCCCTGCCTTAAAGTCTTTTCATTTGAAACACGATAGGAAAGGCCTGATGACAGGTACACAGATGAATTGCCATGGTGGGAAGGGGGAGAAACAGTTCTTGGTTTGGACATTTGTGGTACTAGCATGCATGTAATAGAGGGGGAAGTTGCTGTTTACTGTTTTTTTTAAAAAATTGTTTGAGTTTCCACAGTCTTATTAGCTTGGCAGCATTTGTTGCTTTCACTTTGCCGTATCACAGGTTTGCCAGTTGTACTGTTTACAATGTATGACAAATTATAATATAGAATTTTTTGCCTGCACTTGTATGTTGTAACATATGCACAGTGGTTGTAAAATCTCAAGCAAGCATAGTGAAAAATGGAAGAACTGCAAGTGTTCTGAACGGGTACAATGGTATCAGCTAAACATTTTTTCTTCCCTAATAGAGCTGTAGTGTTTTCTGTTAAAAGGTAAGAAGTGCAAGAGGCATAAAACCTTGGGAAAGAGGATTTAGTGAAGACAGACAATGATATAAGCATAGATAATAATAACCTGCTACTGATGTCTGACATTAAATGGTTGTAATAGAAAGCAACATGAAATTTGAGAGGTTAGGAATTTTAGGCAGCAGGAAGTAAACAGTGTTAGTGCAACGGTTTGTTGGTTTGGGGTTTTTTTCCTAACATAGCCACCTGAAAAATATTCACAAGTATCATATACTGATTTACTTCACTATATATATATGTATGTATGTTAACAAAACCTGAGTTACACATTCTTTTTAGGAATTTAGTACAGAAAAAAAAAGTCACGAGTATTAAAACTGATACATTTTAGAGGTGGGTTTTTCTTTTTTTCCTGTATGAAAAAAGTATTTGAAAACATACATTTTCCATAAGCAGCAAATGAATTTAAGGCACAGGATGATATGACTATGGCTTTATAAAAATTCAGATTTGGTTTCTTCAGCACCTTATAGATGGCAAAAGCTTCTACTGCATTTCTCATGGGTAAAGGATTGAGATTATCAAAATGTACGTAGTCTCTGTAGCATTTGTACATATGTTTGCTTTTTTGTACAGAGCCATTTGGTTGTTGATTTAAAAGAAATTAATTTCCTTATTTGATCTTTGCCCTCTTCACATACAGAGCATTTCAATGCATTTTTCTTTTCTTGCTCTATTTACCATAAGCACATCTGGATAGTGCAATTCTGTAAGATAGCATTTAGATATCATTTTATGCAAGATTTTATTAATTAAAATATGGTTTACCAGCCAAATCTAAATGTACATATGTCTTTATTACTGAGAAATGTCATTAAGACAAAGGTAAAGAAACATCTTTGTGCAGCATACCTTTATTATTGCAGATTTCATGGCAAAAGCTTTATATTTAAAGGCTTTCAATTTTAAACTAGATCTGCATGCAGCTTTGCTGTGAGATTAATACCTATCTTTGATGCCATTTATGATTGAAGACTTAAATATCTGTTGCCTGTGATATTTAAAAAGTACTGTTTCTACTCTGTAACTGATTTTAGAAAAATACAGGTTTTTGATACCTGGCTTTCAGGTA